ACTAATTTGTTCACTATATGAGCTGCTGACTGCAATACGCCTGTGACAACTAAAAGAATACGAAAGATAGACGGCCCTAAAGTATTAAAGATGTGTATTAAACAAAACTACCTTCTTTTTCTTGGCATTCATCTGTAGTCTCTAGCAGAAAGTTCTGATCGTTCTTCCACTTCTTGACTTCAGTCTGTTCTAATCTTCACTTTGCGTGCACATCGAATTTGGCGTATTTGTATGCAGACTGCTGGTTCCTTGCTTCTCAGGCAGATGCACATCGACTTCGAAGAAAATACCCCTCATTAAAAAACTGTTGCGACATGCTTGTTAGGGGAGGGGTGGGGTGGGACAGTGGGTCTATTCTCCCCCCCCCCCCAATAGGGCCATGGGTCTATTCCTTCTCCCACAATGGGTCCGTACGAGGGAAGGGGGGCACTCATAACTTAAGGTATCTGTTTAAAAAAAGTCAATATATTTGTTTATGAATAACACGGTTGTCTGAAGAACATAATCAAATATAAAATAACAAAAAGCGTTAGATATAATTCATTGAGTATTTGTTGTACCCTTCGGCTTGGCTGAGCAATGTATCTTTTACTGTTTTGGGTATGAAGTTTAGCATATTCTCCCCTAAATGTTAGAGATAGGGGAGGGAGATGGGGGAGGGTGGTGGGGGGGGGGGGGATTGGTGTGTGTGTGTGTGTGGGGGGGGGGGGGGAAGGGGATATGTGTTACCGCTGTAAAGCATAAATATGACCTATTCTGAATAATAACATGTTATGAAATGTGTTCGAAGGTGGAAATATTTTCTTCACTTTCATAAGCTGCTCTAGCACGAGCTATCCTGATCCCTGGTCTCTTGCTAGGTTGGTAGCATACAACTGGGGCTCAGTTTCTCTAGCCTACGCTACATTCGCCCAGTGTTTGTCTGTCAGTAAGCGCCGTACTCCCCTTAGCTAGCAAGAGTAGATCATACAACAGACTTATCACACAGCAGACTTATCACACAGCAGACTTATGCAGCAGACGTATCAAACAGCAGACGTTTCAAATAGAAGACGTATCACACAGCAGACTTATCATACAGCAGACTTACCATTTCAATTAGCAGACATATCATATCATACAGCAGAATATCATATCATACAGCAGACTTATCATATCATACAGCAGACTTATCATACAGCAGACTTACCATACAGCAGACTTGCACATTAAGTTGTATTTCCGCAGACTTTGCTCACCAACACAACCGACTGAACTTCTTTTCTTTTTTTAAAAAATATCTTAAAGACAATTTGAAAGATGTGCAGGTTAAATTTCTTGACAGATATTCAAGCAGACTTCAGATAATTTAACCCTCTCAAGCGGCACACACTGAAATCTGTTATCATATTGTAATCATCTATCTGACGACCAATATATCTTTGAATAGTCTAATGATAAATGCAGCGACTTATGCATCTCGGGGGCAATTCTCGGTCTGTCCATCACAGCGTTTTTTTTTTCTAGCAAAGGACTCATGTAAAAATTTACTGTGCGTGATATTGGCTCCAAGGGACCGCCTTCGTGTGACAGCCATAATTTAAAGCCTTTTGCTTGTTCTGATTGTGAGGATAATTAGGAATAACAAGGTGTCCAGTACTGGGAGTGTTGTAAGTCAAGTCCCGCCATAATTAGAAAGTAGAATGTGCCAGACACATCTCTTTCATCGATCCCTGTATGCCAGTTCGGGCATAATAACGACGTGGACATATATTTGTCGCACTCCTATTCTTTTGTCGTGAATTGTTGCAAAAGAGCAGAGCAAAATTGAGCAAAGCGAGTTTTATTCTTGTCTTAAAATCGAGAGTAATGTTGGGAAAAGAGTCCTCAGGGCACAGAACTCTCGGGAACTTGTCAACAATTTTTACGGCATCGTCACCTCCCCTTGTTTTGTAGGGCCCTCTAGGTGGTGAGTTTTGGCGCGAACGGCACTGTGAAAATGACACCCTATTACGCGCGAGACGCTGGCGTTGCTATGGTTACCAGAAGGCGAATGTGTAACATTAGACTGCAAGAAGCGTTCCGCTGAAGGGCTGGCGAAATTTATCACGTAGGAACTTGGTAATTATATGTCCCATAATTTGCTTGAACCGGTGGGGACAAGCTCGACTTTATTACAAGGACAAGATGTTCAGATTTCAAATTTTTTTCCACACTAAAACGTAATTATGCAAATTACCTTGAGGGCTTCGCTGGAAGTGAGTGACAGCGAAATGGAGACATGGTATTCTGTGGCCTGACATCAAATATAGGGATTTTTTCATGGGCCGGGAGCGGCAAACTCTGGGGGAAAATGGCTTGGTTAACAGTTATTACATAAATCTGAAGCTAACGACGCATTTATGCTTGTCCCTCTACTTTCTCTTTTGAGCATTTATGTGAAAACAAGATAATAAGTCAGCCAGAAAACATAATTGTGAAAAAAATATTTACTAAAAATTGCAAATGAGTGAATAAATAAAACCAAACACCAAGGCGCAGATAGTAAAACGATAAGTGCGACAGGAAAACTGGCTGTATAACCAGTGTCCATGCGTGCACATGTAGCACTGTCGCAAAACGCATTGTAAGCTGATCCTGTTTGATTATTCTGTTCGCACACAGTAAAACAAGAAGAATAGATTTGGTTTTTAAACGAATGTATCATGCTTGAAGTGGGGACATTTGGGCAGATAGTGATTAAACATATGCACCAGGAGCGGCTAACTCTGGAGAAAAATGGCCTGGTCAACGCGCGTGTGCAAATTAACCACCACTCTCCAAGGTGCCCCCTCTTCCCCCCCCCCCCCCCCCCTCCATCCACCACCCAAAAGTCTTCGTCGGTATTTCATACACAACATTCCCATAGTCCTCTGTTGTGCCCTTCCAATGACTCCTCAACGGCTGTAATGGCACGTGACACTTTCCATTGCCAAAGAAAACTGCATTATTTTATTATTTATTATTACTGATTACTATTTATTAGTCAGCGTCTGTGGCTTAGACGTTGCAAACGCCTTTCGTAATGCCGGGGTGCCGAGTTCGCTCCCAGCTGCTGACCGTTTGTCTTGCTTTGCTTTCAACAGTGGTAGTGACAGCTGACCGTTCATTAAGCAATGGCAAACTACTGAACGTACAAATTTGCCTAGAGAAACCACAACAGCCAAAAAGTGCTGGGTTCGTTCTGCTATGTCATGTAAAGGACACGCTACTAACTTTGTTAAACTTAACTATTTATTAAAAATACGCCTAAAATTTGGAGTTAAAAATCTACGCTACTAACTTTGTTAAACTTAACTATTTATTAAAAATACGCCTAAAATTTGCAGTTAAAAATCTACGCTACTAACTTTGTTAAACTTAACTATTTATTAAAAATACGCCTAAAATTTGCAGTTAAAAATCTACCTAAAATATTTCAGGATCATTGCCGGTGTAACTGAGTCTGTGCACTGTGCTGAGTTTCTTCGGACTCAGACTTGAGTTAGAAGAAGAACGAAGCACCTATGGATTGCTACCTGTGTGCCATGATGTTGGTCCGTTGTTCAATTTTCAAACTTTAAACTTAAAAAAACGCCACTCTTTTTAGATATCGAACATAGCGAATGAACACTTGCTGCATGCTTGCACCCTTATGCAGAAACCGTCAGGTATGAAAGCTACCAAGTACTACTATGCTAACCGCATACACAAAGTGTTAACAGCCAAGCTACGAGCAGGAAAGTATCGCCTGATACAATCTCCAGTGTAACTGCTACCTGCTAATGCTTACACATACGAATTGGTCGTCGCTGGCTATACCTAACAATTTTGGGCACTTAAATGTGAATGGCATATTTTATTAGAGACAAACACGCACACGGTACAAGCGGGGGTGTGAATAGCTTGAATTTAAAAAAAAAAGGCCAACAATGTTTCTCGACACGGCAAACAAAAACCTGACGAAGACTGACGATAAAGACAAATGGCGGGTCGTAGACGGCATTAGTGGAGGTACCGGTTTAGACAATGTATAGTTAGTGTTTTAATGTTGTGTGAAACGAAACAAAATATCCATATATAAACTTGATAACATCCATTAAGAAGACACATGTTTAATTACTAACAGCCTAATTTGTTCACGCATGATTAGGTTAGTTGCGTATCCTTTACAGGACGTTGCAGAACCAACCCCAGCAGCCACTGGCTGTTGTGTGGTTTCTCTAGGCAAATTTACGTTCAATAGTTTGCCATTGCTCTGGACGGTTGGCTCCCAATTACCACTGTCAAAACCAACACAAGGCGCAAGGCCCACAGCTTGGATCGAACCCGGCACCCCGGCATCACGAAGCGTTCGCATCAACTTAGCCACAGAGCCGACTCACGCATGATACATTCATTTAAAAACGAAAAAACAAATTAATAAAACAGGATTGGCAAGCACTGCGTTAGCGACAGTGCCACTCAACCTTATGGGTAGTTTCATATTTCCCCCGAATATCGTGTCACGGGAACTGTGAAAAGTACAGTTTCATAAAATTATTTTTCAATTTAAATGTTTTTGATTAATCCATTAATTGACAAACACAATGTCAATTGTAAGGTTTATATAGCGCAGTAGACATACAAAGAAATTATATTTAATGTTATCGATAACACCGAGTGAATGGTTGAAGTGAAAATAAGGGGTGCTGCAGTCCCGCAGTGCCTTTGCCAGAACCGCGACTGATAAATACACAACTTATAGTGTCCTTCCCTAAAGAAACGAAACGGATAAGACTGAAACACACACTTCAGCCTTGGACACATTTACTATTTGTAATGTTGAAAAATAATATAGCTATACAGCTATAGATACCACTAGATGTGGATTAATCTCCGCACAGAGAATGTCTATAAACGAGAAGTGAATGAAGAAGATAATTATAAAGTAGACAGACCTGAGCTGTTGTCCAATTGTTGTCTTCAGTATTTGATGTGACCCTTCCATCCTACATCTGCAGGCCTGGAGATCAAGCCGGACTTCTATCGCGACTTCTATCTGGAACGCTTCCACAGAGAGGGACACGCCTCCTACCAGAGACGGGGATCCCTACAACTTTGGCAGTTCCTGGTGGCGTTACTTGACGACCCGTCAAACGCTTCCTTCATTGCCTGGACAGGCAGAGGGCTGGAGTTCAAGCTCATAGAACCCGAAGAGGTAAGCTTTGTCAAATTATCTTGTTAAACTTTATGCACGGAGAGCAGGGATCACAAGCATTTATAGGTCCCAAGTTGATGCCGTAAACCTCAAGTGTGCTTTATCAATTACTTATCTTTCATATACCGAACTGATGCTGGGTGGTCTCAAAGGTAGGATGGAGATATGCTGTCAACACTGAATGCCAACACCAAGGGCTAGGGTTTATGGAGGCCAAATGTGTCCACATTTTTTTTTCAAAGTGCCTCGCTCCACACACACACACACGCACGCACGCACGCACGCACGCGCACACACACACACACACACACACACACACACATTCACACGCACGTGCGTGTTGTGCCTGTATGTTATTTCTAAGCATAAAGTGTTGTTGAAAGTACCAGTTAAATATAACATTTTACTTTTATTGATCGCATGCATTTCATTCATACAAACGTGTGCGCCTGATCCCAGTGCATTAATTTAAATCATCGTATACATGAATTATGTTAACAACAGTTCCTGTGGAAATATTTAATTAGAATAAAAACAAATATAAATCGCTTTGTAGATAAAGATATGCCATTAAGATAGAGCAGGGAGCTGGGAGTGAACAGGCAGGCTTGGCATCAAACAGGTCAGGCTCTGACTAGTTAGCCACATTATCGGGTTGTACTGATTTATGCGATATAGGCCACCTTCGCTTTCTTTATAACTGTTGAAACACGAGAGTCATCTCTCTCTCTCTCTCTCTCTCTCTCTCTCTCTCTCTCTCTCTCTCTCTCTCTCTCTCTCTCTCTCTCTCTATCGCCCTCTCTTTTTTTAAGCCTTTCTTGAATTCACCACATTTAATATTCATCAATTTTCTTAGGTAATTAATATATATATATATATATATATATATATATATATATATATATATATATATATATATATATATATATTTAGAATGCTAATCAGTTTCATTTAATTTGTCTAGTGGTTCTTTAACTTTTACAGGCAACGTTTAACACTGAAATAACATTAGAATTTGTTTGAAACTATCCAGTTAACAGTTCTATATTTAGTTCAGGCTGTTAACATGATCTGCTGTTCCCTTGCCAGTACTTAATTTTAACAATTCCCGGGTAATTCCCCTTCTGTTCGACATCCGCTTGATCTGCTATTGATGTCTTCAGATATATGCGTCATTCCATAACTAGTCTGTAAATGTATGTGCAAATCATCACAGTTCTTCATCACCAGAGTTTTGTCATCTGCAAAAATAAATCCTCCATAGGTGCTTTCTTTCCTTCCCCCCTCCCACCCCCTGATTTTGTCGGTATTTCCTAAACAACATTTTTCTCCCTTCGCCCAGTCAATAGACAGCCACACAACGCACATTAAAACAAAGCATTAGAATTAATTCATAAATTAGTGTTGGATTTATGAACTACCAAAAGACTGAACAGCGCATAAATGCCTTTGAATACAAATTTTATAGACGGGTTTTTAAAATATCATGGGTAAAAAAAAAAAGAACAAATGAATCTATCCATACTTCAAGAACTCAAAACTGAAGACGCTTGGCTATAAAGACGACAAAAAGCAGAAAACTGAAATATTCTGGTCACTTGAAACGTCACGAAAGCTTAGAGAAAACAGTAATGGAGGGGTATATGCCTGGGAAGAGAGGAAGAAGAAGGCTAAAGAGAAGATGGGTGCAGGATGTGGCGGAGGATCTCCATATGGGTGTATCGGACGCGGGACATCTTGCTTGTGATCGAGATATTTTTCGGAGGGTTGTTATGGAAGCAAGGCTCTGCAAAGGACATCCTTCTGACTGAAACAGAATCTGGAAATCGATACGGCTTGATGGAACCCCTAAAGAGATCACTAACTTAATCAAAGAAGCACATGAAGACATGCAAAGAAGTCCTTTCTAGAGAAAGACTAGCAGATGAGTTCCAAATACCGACAGGGACGCCCTTTGTTACTTTCATTATTCTTAGCAACCAGATTTGAGTCTGAAGATAAGGAGTTGCTAGCACTAGAAATGAAGTTCAAGGATTCTATAAGATATTCTTAAGAACTCAACTTGGCAATACTAACCACATTCACCACGAACGGAAACTAATGAAAGCAAATATGGCGACTGACAAAGCGTAAACAAGAAGTAGATGTGAACATTCATGAAGGCAGGTACGTGTGATGCGAGCAAACCAAACAAACAAATGATCATATCTCCCTGGGAAATGCGTCACTCCGAGCCCTGCATTTATACAATAACACACACACACACACACCCCATTAACACCCCCCCCCCCACACACAGAGAGAGAGAGAGAGAGAGAGAGAGAGAGAGAGAGAGAGAGAGAGAGAGAGAGGGGGGGGGGGGGACAGAAGACTTCCAATATATGTACCAGAAACATTTTTTGTAGACTTGCCCAACTAGATAGACGATATGGTACTTCGGCCGCCTTTGCTTCTCAGGATATTTCTTCATACCTGTTGTTATCCTTGTTTACCATGGTCAGATAAAAATCACCTAGCCGCGGATTCGAACCCTAGACCTTCAGACCGGTAGGTTTACAACATTTAGTCATACTATCGGAATGAGAATGTATGTTTGCAAAGGTGCCGACACCGAGATCCTCAGGCACATTGGGACCCTTTTCCACGCCTTTAGGCGTATAGGGCATATAGGGCTAGACCTATATTTTCATAGACCAATCGGCACAAGATGGATGACGCATCACCGCTGGCCGCCTCTACTTCCCGGAACCCACTCAAGGTTGGGTGGACCTGGAAGCCAGGTCATTTTTGAAAAAAAATCAGGCTTCTCCAGGCAGCAAACCCACAACCTTTCGATCCTCGGCGAGCGTCTAGCCGCTCCGCCACGGGGACTCCCGTATGCATGTATATGTAAATAGGTACGGGCTTTAGCGTGTGTTTGTACTGCTGGAAACATCCAAGACAAATAATTCTCTATTATTCCGCAGGTGGCCAGACGTTGGGGCATGCAGAAGAACCGACCGGCCATGAACTACGACAAACTCAGCAGATCTCTCAGATACTATTACGAGAAAGGCATCATGCAGAAGGTAGCTGGCGAACGATATGTGTACAAGTTTGTCTGTGACCCGGAAGCGCTCTTTACCATGGCATTTCCCGACAATCACAGACCGTTACTGAAGTCAGACGGAACGGTCAAGGATGACTTATTCAAGTCTACGTCACAGTTTCCCGACAGCCAACCTTTAGCTCTGACTTCGTCGCCCACGCCTGTCCATCATCACGTGACAACATCAGCCATGCGAGGAGCCTTTAGTATGTCGGGGTCAGCCACTGTGAACCCCCACATGGGTCACAGCGCGCCACCGATGACCCCAGAACAACACAGACTTCAATATGTGCAGGAGTTCCAGCGGATGTATGGCGCTGGGCCATACATGGAGGGGTGTGTTTACTAG